CGTAGAACCCAGGAGTCCTGAGCTGCAGCACCTTAGCCACAAGCGCGTCCGTCTGGTCTAAAAGCAGCTCCCTTCTGGGCAGGGGCTCCCTCCCGCCAGGTGGGGGCGCTCTGCTCTCTGCTCCGGGGAACAGCCCCGGCCCCTCGCACTTTCTGGCGCCCCCGTCCTGCAGGGATCGGTGCCAGGGATTCCCCCTTGGGTGGTGGTGACCCTAGAGCCCCCTCGGCTTCCCATGGCCCTGGGGCTGTGGGTCAGCCCCTCGGGAGGGATGGGGACAGGCTGGGCAGCATCGAATCCATCTGGGCTGCTGGACTCAGCCAGACACTGGTTCCCGCAGACTTCCCAGTGTCGCCACTAGGGGGCTCTCCCAGCCCTGGCGCAGAGCGATGCCGACAGGCTAGTCCGTCTGTACCCTAAAGCCCGGCCTGGCTGCTGCCTTGGGGGGGAGCCCTGACTAACCCCCTCACCCCACCCCACCCCCGGCACAGGACTGGACCCTGGACGTCATCACCAAGGTGGGGTTGGTGATCTCGCTGCTGTGCCTGCTGCTGTCCATCATCACCTTCCTCTTCTGCCGCGCCCTCAAGGGCCCCCGCACCACCATCCACCTGCACCTCTGCCTGGCGCTCTTCATCGCCTACACCGTCTTCCTCACCGGCACCTCCAGCACCGGCAACAGGGTACCTGGCTCTCCTGCCAGCCTCGGGCCCCGCTCCCCACAGCAACCCCCCCTGCCAGCCTCGGTCCCCGCTCCCCACAGCAACCCCCCCTGCCAGCCTCGGGCCCCGCTCCCCACAGCGCCCCCTGCTGGCAGCTCCTCCCCCTAGCCAGCCTCAAGCCCTGCTCGCCAAAGTGCCCCCCGCTGGGAGCTCTGCCCCAGACAACCTCGGGCCCTGCTCCCCACTGCACCTGCTCCTGGCACAGGCTGGGGCTGGAAAAGCCAAGAGCTATCCCACAGCCAGTGGTCGTGCCTTGCTTCCCACAGTGCCCTGCAGTGTCTGGGCCTGAAGTAGCGGGGAGCCCTGCCCCCCCGCCACTGCTTCCCACAGCGCCCCCCAGGGGCTGGGGCTGGAGGAGCCGGGAGCCCGGCCCTGACGTCCCACGTCCCGTTGGCTGCAGGTGGTGTGCGGCGTGGTGGCCGGGCTCCTGCACTATTTCTTCCTGGCCGCCTTCTGCTGGATGTGCCTGGAGGGCGCCGAGCTCTACCTGCTGGTGGTTCAGGTCTTCACCCCCCACGGCCTCAGGCGCCGCTACATGTTCCTGTTGGGCTACGGCGTGCCGGCCCTCATCGTGGGCA